TCGGACTGCCTTTTTCGAGAACCAAATTAGCTCCTACTCCGGAGCAGGGTCTAACCAGCACAACTGGTACTAATCGTGACGTAAGTAGACATTGATTGGCCAAACGCGTATGAAAACCCTCACCCGCCATGATTTAAAACGCCGTGTATATTGTATACTGTACAATATACATACTGTAAACATTGTGTCAACTTACTGTAAACATACTGTAAACATTGTGTCAACTTATTTCGCAAGTACTAGTACACACTGTCGGTGTGAATGCAACCCTTTAAATGGTACTGGGAAATAGTTCGCGCAAAATCGTCCCAGTACTTTAGTACTGTCCATTTAGTTCTGGAACTAAAGCGGTGCGAAAGGCCCTATTGTCACCTACATCTTGGATGCCCTTGGGGGTAAGCAGATTTAACATCTAATTTTCATTTTTGGGTGAACTATCCCTTTAACTCGACCGCCGGCATTGAACTTACCTTTCCTTCCTGCAGTTACAGGCGCTGTTAAAGTTACAACGACAGCTGTTTAAGTGCATACAAATATGACACATGACACATTATATGACATAAAAGGTGGCAAAAGTGAAAGGTTAAATGTTTGGAAATGTGTCTTGGCAGAGCACCACTCAAAACAAAAGGATACCTTTCAGTCCAGTCACTTTTTACTTTTAAATTTTTGCTGCTGTTCTAAAAATATTTTGTTGATTGCTGTCGTAAAACTCGCAAAAAGCACTGGAACACGCACTTTGACAGGTATAACTAACAAATAATTTTAACATTTTCATTAACTTCGGTAGGCTGTGCAGGAGTTGTAATTGTCTGTTTTTTCATTCTGCAGAAAGCTGAATTCTAGTGATGTGTCTATTTTGGTGAGAGACCTGGCAAACCACATGATTTCTGTCAAAGAGCCAGGTGTGGCTCGAGAGCCATGGGTTCCAGACCGCTGAGTTATACGAACAATATAGTAGGCCAGTGATCCATAAGAAATGCCAAAAGTGGCTAACTTTAAAGTGGAAACCATAACTAGAACATTCTGATAAAACATTCTAATATAAATTCTGATATGAATTAGATTTTGACATTCAAATTACTAGCACAATAGTAAACGGCTTGAAACTTTTACTGCGAAAAGCCAGAAACTTGATAAGTGGGAACAATGAACACTGTAGTGTCAGAACTGAGGTGAAGGTGCCCACAACTGGTAATCAGGTGAAACTGCAGGCAAACCCATAACACCTGCCTTGTAGCATATTTTTTATCCTGCATTCCCTGGATTTACGCATTTGCGCACTGATTTTATTATTACGCTTGTTGGCCTGAATCTCAGCCTTTTAAAAAAAAGCTGGCTACTGAATTTTTCCCTCAATGGACACCACATTGATTTTCGTATTTTTAAAGGTAAAACTAGGCTATAGCATATACCTAATCTTGATTTGTTGTTTTGTATTTAGAATACTACTAATTGTATGTCTGATACTAAGACAAAATGTTAAAAACTATTAAAAATAAACATAATGTTAAAACATTACAAATTATTCAATTATCTCTAGTTTGTTTCTACGCTAAAAAGAAGTTTGTCTCGACAATAACATCATGTCGAGAGCAGTCAACAAGACTAATATTTCCCAAAGTCTAGCAGGAGAGGGCGTCTTTCAACTAAAATACTGCGGAGTTAACTAAATATAGCCCAAGTGAAATTTCTGCTTCAACACATCTCTCGGTAACTACATAGGCTACTTTTCATTCAAAGCGGAAAATAGCATAAAGCAAATTAGAAATGTTACATTTAATTTCACATATGAAATAAAATAATAATATTTGCCTTTTCTATATGTATCCGATTGTTTATGGTAATTGCATGAGTACTTTTCTATTGCAAATGGTAATCATTTCTATTTTTGTGAAGGACAACTGTAAGAATACTGTGACTGGCACAGCCATCTGCTAGTTAGCAGATAATTAACTATTTAATAATTATCTGTCCATTTGCTGCTGGCAAACGTTAGACTTTTCAGGTAAAATAATGATAATAGCTTACTTTAGATTTTTTCAGTAAGTAATCCTGATTTCTAGCCAACTTGCAAACACTACACAAGAATTTGTATTTTATAAAAGGGAACTGAAAAAAAAAACACATGAAATTAATCAAGATTATGTGTTAAGATTTAACAGTTTAATGTATAAGTTAATGTATTATTTTTCTATATTGACATTTCATAAAGCAAAATATTTAGGAAACCACTTAACACTTCAATCATGCTCACATAAGTTTAAGTTTCATTTTATTTAATCAGCCAATGAAATGTACTTTAAATACTGATATGGTAACTTTTCCTTTAATAGAAAGTTGACCAAAAAAATATAATTTTATAATTTTTATAATCATAATTTTCCCACCACCACTGTAATTCCAAACCTTTTAGTTGGTTACAAAAGGGGAAGTTCTGAAGAATGTTCACACTTTTCCCAGCCATCATGAAAGTGGATTTGAACTAGGGGCTTTCAAGTTCCAAAAATGACAAAAAAAGATTTATAGCATGAATCATGCATCAGCATATCAGCATGAAAGTATTATAAAAGTAGTCCATATACATGTCATGTACTGTATTCCAAATTTTTAAAGTTATATGAGGTCATCTGCCTATCTATTCACTTTTAATATACACAAGAGAAGTTTGAACATTAATAATAATAATAAATAATAATAATTATTTACATTTATATAGTGCTTTTCTAGGCACTCAAAGCGCTTTACATTGTGAGGGGGGGATCTCGTCAACCAGCACCAGCGTGCAGCATCCACCTGGATGATGCGACGGCAGCCATAGTGTGCCAGAACACCCACCACTCACCAGTTTACTGATGGAGAGGAAACGGAGTGATGAAGCCAATCAGTAGATATGGGGATGATTAGGAGGCTATAATGGTCAGCGGCCAATAGGCAAATTTTGGCCAGGATACTGAGGTCACACCTCTACTCTTTTCTAAAGACATCCTGGGATTTTTAATGACTACAGAGAGTCAGGACCTCGGTTTAATGTCTCATCTGAAGGACGGCGCTTGTTGACAGTATAGTGTCCCCATAACTACACTGGGGCGCTAGGATCAACACAGGGTGAGCACCCCTTGCTGGCCTCACTAGCACCTCTTCCAGCAGCAACCTAGTTTTCCAAGGGGGTCTCCCATCCAGTTACTGACCACCCTGCTTAGCTTCAGTGGGCGACCAGACGAGAGCTGCAGGGTGATATGGTAGATATTCTGACAGAATATTCATTTTTGGGTCAGCTCTCCCTTTCAGATAGAAACTTTCAGCTACAGTAATGGGCTTTTATAATAACCCTCGCAATAGATGGTAACATTTTTGATGTACTTTGACTTAAAATTCTGTACTTTTACATCCATGACAGTGTTTTCAACTGCTTACACACATTTTCAAAACTTTGCCTCTTTTTAAAAAAACTTTACACACGAATCCAAGAATTGCACACACACAAAATGCCTCACATCTCTTGCAAAATGAAGCACTGCATTCAAAATATCACATCTCAAAAGCAAACATTTGCAAACACCTTTGCCATAATATTAATTCCTGTTAGGTTTTTGTGTGTTACATAGAGAATTGTGTGTTATGTTTTGCAAAAAAGGTGTTTTATGAAATTCAAAACATAGTCAAAGGTCGATAATTAGCGTATGGTTTTGTAGATTTGGTGTGTGGTTCTGGTGTTTGAGTGTCAGGTTTCAGAAACTGTGTGACAAGTAAAGATTTTGTGTGTAGGCAGTTAAAAAAAATGTAATAAACCATATAATTCAGTCACTTTGCAAGAGCACGAGTGAAGCGAGAAAAACAGCGTGTGTTGCTTTAAGAGAGAGGTGGGCGTGGCTTCGGCCGCAGTGACCTCAGCGAGGTAGAGTTTCTGTTCAGTTGCGTTACTATAACACCTGTAGGCGCTCAGTAGGGAGCTATCGATTACGTGAGTTTGCGGAACCACTTTTGAGGCACTTTAATAACCAAAATTATTTCAAGCTGTGCTTTGAACTGAACCGAAGAGAGCAGCGGCAGTGCTGGTGTGCCGAACATGGGGCTTCTTGCGAGTCGGGATGTGTTTTCGTGGCTGCTGGTGGCCTCTGTTTTCCAGGTGTCGAGTGTGAGTTTGGCGCAGGGCACTTACCTGTGCACTGCATACCTGAATATTTCCTACACAATCCCTGAAACAAACCTAACCACCTGGTTGCGAGAGGAGATGGGGCTGTATGGGCAAGACTCACCCAAAACTTCTGTAGTGGGGAACGTGTATTTAGCCGATCCGATCTATGGCTGTGAAGATGACACCTTTTATCGGCGACCGAACGACTCCAGGAGCTGGATCGCCTTAATCCAGCGCGGTAACGGATGCACTTTCGCCGATAAAATTAACGTCGCGGCCATGAACGGAGCTGCAGCTGCTATCATTTTCAACGACTTTGGGGCAGAATATCAGGTCATTCAGATGTCCCACCCAGGTAGGTGACCCAACGGGCGACAGATGAGGTGCTGAACATTTTAGTATGCGTGTATATATACAAGTGTTGTCTTGTCACTCATTATTCTCATCAATTTTGGCCTCTATTAGTTGCCAGTTGTACTCTAACCCGGGCGTTGTGTTGTGTAAGTTGTGTAAACTTGACGGCTGATAGGACCTCCTCAACGCGGAAGAGCGCAAACTCTGCTCTCGCCTGTCAGGATATTAAAAGAACTGGACTAGAATCGTATTTTATTTAGAGCTGGTGCGATCTGGTTTTGAACGCACAAACCCACTTACTGAGCCTTAGAAGGAGAAATTCGCTGAGCAATGACAATTTCCTAAAGACTTTTCAGATGACCTTGTAAATAAACGTGTTTTATCACGTTGTGTCATGTCATAAAACGAAAGGTTGTGTGTGTACGTAGACGAGTAGCAGTGATATATTATCATAGTTTTGGTTAATATGTTGTATTTATTTGTATTTTCAGTTTTCTTTGCAATTTTAGTCATTTTGTCATGTGTTTTTGTCATTTTTATTTGTTTTAAAATAGTCTATAATTTTTTTTGGGATTTAGTCATTTTAGTTCATGGGTTACACTTTATTTTAAGGTGTCCTTGTTACAGTGTAATTATACATTACGTACTAAGTACTATTAATTAACTACATGTACTTACTATGGTTAGGGTGACTTGCATGTAATTATGCATAATTCATTTTTATTGTAATAAGTACATGTAACGTGTAACAAGAACACCTTAAAATAAAGTGTTACCACAAAGTTAAAATAAATGAAAATGAGAATTGTTGCCTTGTCAAGTAGCTAAAATCAAATCAATTTTATTTTGCTTTCAGTTCATGTTTATTTAAAGTAATGAAATGTGTTTTTATGGTTTTAGCTCTCGATGGTAGATTTCTATATTATTCGTCATATTTTTTTGTCACGCTCATGCAAACAAGTCGTTTCTTTCCATCATTTTTGGAGTCTAAAATATAAGAATTCAGTGCTCACATCTCATTAAACAAACGCTGTCCTTGACCACTGTGTCTCGTGCATGACACAAGTTTGCTTACTTTCCTCTCCCTTAATTTAAAATGTATTTTATTTGGGTACGTGTTAGTAAATGCGTTTGATGTTGCATGTTTGTTGAAGTTTCCACTCTGTCTTTCCTTCTCAACCAGCAGGTTGCCAAGTGCTACGGTGTGCTTCGCTTTGCGCAGGCGTGCTGCTTGTGTTTTCAGTATTCTCTCATCTCTGTGTGTTTCTAGGCACGAGCATCGTTGCAGTCATGATTGGCAACTTCCGTGGGATGGAGCTGGTCCAGCTGCTAGAGAAGGGCGTGCCCGTTTCCATAGCAATAGAGGTTGGGAAGCAGCACAGTCCCTGGATGAGTCACTATTCGGTGTTTTTCATCTCCATCTCCTTCTTCATCGTTACTGCGGTGACTGTTGGATACTTCATCTTTTACTCCGCGCGGAGACTGACCAGCCTCAGACAGCAGAACCACAAACAGGTACAGCACAAGATTTGGCAGCTGATTTGATTGGCTTTAAACAACAATCCTGTTAATATACTGTGGTTATTAACCGTATTGTGGTTATACGGTTATTATGATGCAATAAAACTGCATTAACTTCCTTATAGACAGTAGACTACATCCATATAGACTGAAATAATAAAACTAGTGAGTCAATAAGAATGACTAGTAAAATAATCACTATATGAAGAAGATTCTATATTAATGCTTTGTTTTTGTTTTTTAATTGTGAATTGAAGTAACAATTTTTTGCATAAACTATGGCTACCTTTGTAAATTATTGTTTAGGGAAGTGTAGTGGGTTCTCAGACTTTGCTATTCAAAGGTTTGTGGTCAGCAAGATTTTTTAAAACAATTTAATACTTTTATTCAACAAGGATGCATTCATTTATCAAAATAACAGCACAGCATTTATAATGTTACAAAGATTTTTATTTCACTGTTCTTGTGAACTTTCTCTTCATTAAGAAGCTCAAAAAAATCATCACGGTTTCCTCAAAAATATTAAGCAGCAAAACTGTCTTCAACATTTATAATACTAAGAAATGTTTCTTGAGCACCAAATCAGCATATTAGAATGATTCCTTAAGGATCGTCCGACACTGAAGCCTGGAGTAATGATGCTGAAAAATCAGCTTTGCCATCACAAGAATAAATTACATTTTCAAATATATTAAAATGGACCGCAGTGATTACAAATTGTAATAATATTTCACAGTATTACTGTTGTTGTATTGTATTTTTGATCAAATAAATACAGCCTTGGTGAACATAAGAGACTTCTTTTAAAAACATTTAAAAATCTTACTGACCCCAAACAAACGGTAGTTACTGTTTCTTAGGTTTTGTTCTAGTATATAAGGTTTTGGATTTGAAAGTGTGGTAACCAAAGGGTGACAATGAATGTATAGTGAATCACTTCAAATACAATATGAAGTAAACATAGCTTCAACAATTTTATTGTAGTTTTAGCATTTTCCTTTATAGGGGGATGTGAAATGGTCTCACAATTGGCATGGCTGATGAGAAAAATCAGGAAGGTCTATAGAATGTTGTGTATAAAGCGTTTGTATAAACAGGAGTGTTACTAAAAATATGAATTTAAAAACCCAAATACTGACTTTGAACAAGTGGAGATTTTACAAGACCTTGTTTACCACAAAAGCATAGTCTGACACTCCATGCATGCTTGTTCATTATTCCAGTATATCTAGCTTCTAACTGGTTGATCTGGTTTCACATTACTGGGTTCTGAGATCATTCTTTTTTTCAGCCCTACTGTCATCACTGTATGTGTATGAGTTTGGTTCTAAGGTGGTATTAGGCCTAAATTTAGTATCAAGGAAATGTTTGATTTTGGGTAAAGTTTAACTAAAATCACAACCTGTTTCTCTTTACGTTGTCAGAGATTATCCCACACACAGAGAAAGACTGGATTTTTTTTTTTTTTTCAGTTGCAACTGATGAAATTATACTGGGAATGTTTCTGAAAATCTTGTTTTTCAAAGGAAAGTACCGGAATATTTAATCACACGAAAGCCAAAAGAAATTAGTGTGCTCAAAAAGTACCCATTTCAGTGGTTTGTTATTTTGCTCAAGGGAAAAAGGGAAGAAAATAATAAAAGGAAGCTAAGTGGCTAAGTAAAAGGCCTTTCAGACCAGTTGAGCTTTACTACTCACATTTCAGTCATTGCCTGGTAAATGCATGGTTTTGCTTTGTACCATCAGGAAAATTCAGACTGCAGCTTCTCATCTGAGCTCTTGTCATTGCAATACTGCTGTAACGCTCCATTGGCCGGACTTCCAGCTAACACACTAATGTGAAGTGACATGTGGCCAAGTATGGTTACCCATACTAGGAATTAGTGTTCTGCGTTTAACCCATCCAAAGTGCACACACACAGCAGTGAACACACACACACACTGTGAACACACACCCGGAGCAGTGGACAGCCATTTATGCTGCGGCGCCCGGGGAGCAGTTGGGGGTTCAGTGCCTTGCTCAAGGGCACCTCAGTCGTGGTATTGAAGGTGGGAGAGAGTGCTGTACGTTCACTCCCCCCACCTACAATCCCTGCCGGTACGAGACTCGAACCCGTAACCTTTGGGTTACGAGTCCGAGCCGGTACGAGACTCGAACCCACAACCTTTGGGTTATGAGTCCGACTCTCTAACCATTAGGCCACGACTTCCCCCATACACAACATGCCTTTCAAAGTTGTTGGATTGACATTTTGTTCCACACTATACAACTGTCTGTCATCACCAATGTCATTTCCAGTCAAAACATATTTCACACTACAGAACTTGGATTGCAGACAGGTCTAGAATAACCAGAATTGCTAAATATCTTTCAGGCATCTGTGGCACATTGGTGCTTTTTTTATTTCTTTTTTTTGCCTTTTATTATGATAGGACAGTGAGTAGAGAGGAAGCGAAGGGGAGAGACAGTGGGATGAGATCAGAAAAGGTCTCAAACTCGGGATGTCCCAAAGCGCAACAGCACTGTGTATGTCAGCACACTGCCCATGAGGGTGTCGGCGCCAACACAAAAGATCCTTGATCATTGAGACATTCAAATGTAGCGATCATCACTCATGTGAATGAGCACCGTGTTGTTGCTTTTTTTTTTATTGACTTTTGTCTGCAATCATTAACTGCCGCAGAGCTGCTAAAATTGTACAGAATGTGGGCAGCACAAGCCTCTGATGGTGATCTTCAACAAAACGGTTAACCACAGAGGATCCATGTCACATTCCTCTTTGTGTCGCTCCAGAGGCTTTGATGTTGGCCATCAGGACTGCCATTGGAAATGAACACTAAGTGTATGCTCCCTCCCACCATTTACAGCTAGCAAATATGACAGTTGTGCTACCTTCACAATGAGGTACAAAGTCATTTTCTAGAACCTTGACCCTCTCTGTTCCTCTCCGGACTGCCTACCTCTACAGATCTGCTGAGACTTTTACAACTTTTAAAGGGGTCATAAGCGATTGAGGTGTTCTGTTGTTGGATGTAATAATGAACATAGCAGTTGTCGTTTACTCCTGACATCTGAGCCGCTGAAGACAAAAGGGTCTGGCTGCAGCTGGGGCTTGCAAGTGACTTCGTAATTTAGTTTCTTTTTTCTTGTCTTCACCACCTGTGTGTGAGTGTAAGGTTTTTTTAATGAATCTTTGCAAATCGCCTTTCCTAATAATGTGCTAATTAGCAAGTTTCACGATGAATGCAGCTAAAGTAAACAGTCTCTCTGAGAGCGGCTCGGAAGAGAGGGGCGGGGGCAGCAGAGCTCATTAACATTTAAAGGAAAATGCTACAAATCTGCATGCTCTGAAAAGAGCTGTTTTTGACAGGGTAAAAAAGGTGTTTTTTACACTACCATTGAGAAATTTTAACCAAACTATGTTACAGACTTTTCATTAAGACCCTAAAGAATCATATCAACTTGTGGAAAATGGGCATCCTATGGCCCCTTTAAGAAACAGCTGAAGACATGCCTCTTCTGTGAACGCCTAACTAATTTACAGTCGTGAAGGTAATTCCTGTGATAACTCGTAATATAAAACAGAAAGTTAAATCATTGTTTTCTTTTCTGCATTATACTTCCGCTCTAGTTTGTGTACTAACCATTGTATACTTTAAACTGCAAATATTGATAATTATGATAAACTGCTTACAATGTTGCTTATTTCTACATCCGCTAAATACATAGATTTAAGTTAGTGAAAATGAGTTGTAGATGTATAGTTGCAGGTATAAATGTATTTAGTAAAAATCAAATTCTTTAGTTAGAGGTTTGTGTGAGGAATAAAAATGACTACCTTCTTTAAACGTACTTAGCATTGACAGTGTCACAACAGAAGAATTTTGTGATTCATATTCATGGAATTTCATATTCACTGTGTGACTCATACTGTATGTTTTCAGATAACAGTGATTGAATGGAAAAGAGCTCCAAAGAATACAGTTTTAAAAGCCTGTAAGGTGTGCAAAGAAGGTGGACTGTCGAGTTTTAGATTTAGGCCTACTTTTTGCTGGTGAACAGTCAACACAACTCTTCAACATGTTGACAGACAAAACAAATAGCTTCTGAGACAGTTTATTAGAGTGAGTTTGTCATTGTGTCTCATTTGTTTGATGTTTAGTATGGGCATTGGTATGATGTTTGTTTCCTCACTAGGACCTTCATGTGGTCTTGCATGAATGCATGTATACTGTTTGGTATAACTGGTCTATAGACCTTAGTCAGAATAGTGCCATATAACATTTTTTGAAAGGAGTGAAAACAAGGCTATGAGGATAGAAGTACAGTGTGTTCAATAGATTGTACTGTTGTTGAACAACATACCACTTGTTCAGCTGACGAAATATCTTTCTGAAAACTTTCAGTAGACAACCTCCATAAAACAGTTTTGAAGGTTCAGAGTTGTGAAAATGACCTGATCTATGACATTTATACAGTGTGTGCCATTGTGAAGGCTGTTAGTTTATCTCTCGCGGCATTTTCTTCCAAGTTAAATTCAACATGGCATCTAACCTGGCTAAGGTCTATAGTGTGTATATAGATTTGTTATTGTTCTATGTTTTGTTATATAAATTATATATATATTAATTTCAAATATTAAATAAAAATTAAGTTGCACTAAAATACTCTATAGAGCCATTCACACAGAACTTGTTTTTGCTTGAAAAAAATGCAGGCAGGGGAATGAGGGGAAAAATACAACACTTTTTATTTTTTAGGTTAACTTCTTTTAACTGGAGTGCTTGGAACACCGTGTCGTGCGAGGTGCATAAAAAGCGAGATGCAAGCACAATGGTCAAAGATGTCCCTTTAGCATGTGTTTACATAGAAAAGTAGCACAGAGAATTCCAGCTTTGTTTATTAAGTCCTTTAGATTTACATGTTGAAATTGTTTTATGAATGTTTTTTTTTTTTTTTTTTTTTTTGAAAATCCAGATGCATTCAAGTTTTGACTGCAGGGTGAATTTCTGATTTTACTGTTAATTTCTATTTATTTATTCCATATTAATTTCTTAATGGGATTAAGGGATGTCTATGTCTGTTATATAAACCTTTTCCATTCTTTGCTAAAGGTTTTGTGCGGTCAAATACAACAATGTCTAATTTAAACTCTGTATCTGCTGCCCTGTGTTAATTTACACAATCCTTTTTTTTGTTTTGGAATTTCAGAATTGAGAGAGGAAAGTCTCGCCCCAGTTTCATAAGCATTCATAAAGTGGTTCATTATGAAATCTAACCATCAATCAGGTTCTTTTTCTTGTCTGAACTGTGAAAGTGTTGAATCTGGATTAAGCTCTTTTGTATGTGTGAATGTGGTTTAGCTAGAGCTTCTTTTTGTTTTTGGTTATCTAATGCATTGACATTCATACATTTTTAAGTGTGTCTCAAGTGTCTGCATTCTTAATGCAGCCACTATATGTGCGAATCAACTGAGTGAACGAGTCCGCAATAGTTCTGTCACTGTGGGATAAGTTTATTTTTTGTAAAAGATAAATGTAGATGTCCCTTTATATTTACGTAATAATCCTGATCTTAAATGTTCTTTGTTCTAGGTGTTTATACAGAAGAGCAAACACATCTGAATATACTTCCTGTTGATACTCGTGTTGCAGTTCTACAATATTCTTACACTTCTTGAAAAACCAGTGAGACCAGACCAAAAACACCAAGACACGCACACATCCTGAGGTCTGTTTGTCTGTTCTCTTTTTTTCAGAAAAAGCTGAAAGCTGAAGCAAAGAAGGCTATTGGCCAGCTGCAGGTCCGCACACTGAGACAAGGGGATCAGGTACATCACAACATTTTGTTTGTGCACATGTAAATATAGACATTTGTTTGTGCACATGTAAAAATGAGCTTCTATTTATGTATTTTTTTTATTGGATTTGTGTTTTTTCTGTGTGTTTTTACATACACTGCCGTTCAAAAGTTTGGGATCAGTAAGACTTGTAATGTTTTTTAAAGAAGTCTCTCATGCTCATCAAGGCTGCATTTATTTGATCAAAAATACAGAAAAAAAAACGTAATCTTGCTAAATGTTATTACAATATAAAATAATGGTTTCTATTTTAATATACTTTAAAATATGATTTATTTCTGTGATGCAAAGCTAAATTTCCATTAGCCATTACTCCAGTCTAAAGTGTCACATGATCCTTCAGAAATCATTCTAATATGCTCATTTATTATTAGAATTATCAATGTTGGCAACAGTCGTGCTGCCAAATTTTTTTTGGGAAACTGCGATACTTTTTTCAGGATTCTTTGATGAATAAAAAGTTTAAAAGAACAGCATTTATTCAAAATATAAACCTTTTCTAACAATATAAATCTTTGCTATCACTTCTTATCAATTTAACACATCCTTTCTGAATAAAAGTTTTAATTTCTTTCAAAAAAACTTTTAACTTCCAAACTTTTGAACGGTAGTGTATATTGTTAGAAAAGATTTCTATTTTAAATAAATGCTCTTCTTTTTAACTTTTTATTCATCAAAGAATCCTGAAAAAAAGTATTGCAGTTTCCAAAAAAAGAATAAGCAAGCAGCACAACAGTTTCCAGCACTGATAATAAATCAGCATATTAGAATGATTTCTGAAGGATCTTGTGACACTGAAGACTGGAGTAATGATGCTGAAAATTCAACTTTGCATCACAGGAATAAATGAGATTTTAATGTATATTAAAATAGAAAAATGTTATTTTACATCATAATAATATTTCACAATATTAAATTTTTTCCTGTATTTTTTATCAAATAAATGCAGCCTTGATGAGCATAAGAAAGTCCTTTAAAAAACATTAAAAATCATTCTGATCCCAAACTTTTGAACGGTATTGTATGTTTTAACTGTCGTATATATAGACAAAAGATTTTTAATGGCTTGTTATCAGCAGGATAACTACAGATATACAAAGAACGTGAAGAACCGTCAGTTTGAACAATGTTTTGATGGTTTGTGCATGTGTGTGTTTGTTTTACAGGAGACTGGCCCTGATGCTGATGCCTGTGCAGTGTGTATTGAGTTGTATAAACCAGGAGATGTACTATCAGTTCTCACATGCAAGTATGTCTGTCTTTCATTCCGTTCCGTTCTGTTCTCCCTCAATCACTGTTTTCACTATAAATCTGAATTTTTTCCAGTCTTTCTGGTCTTAATGTTGCTGTATGGTGTTTTTGTGTTTGCAGTCATTTCTTCCATAAATCTTGCATAGAGCCATGGCTACTGGAGCACAGAACCTGCCCAATGTGCAAGTGTGACATTCTTAAAGCCCTTGGAGTTGAGGTGAGTTTTCACACTAAGAGTGAAGTCCAGCGTTGCACTTCATAAAGCTAGCAAATTAATCTGTAGTATTTAAAAAAAAAAAAAAAAGTGTCTTAATGGATACTGTCAGATAAGATGTCATTTTTCAGGTTTTGGACACTGTCTTAGTGTTAACGCAGTAAAACAATAAGAAGATAAAAGCTTCCCTCTGTTTCAGTTTAAAGTGTTAGCATGTCAATACAAATTCTTGAGAAATTGCTAAATGAAGAACATAACAATACTGAGCATTATGCATTATTAATTAAAAAGGATAAGGAGACAAAGTCAAATTCTCTCTGTTCGTCTTGTGGTAGGCAAAGAGGAACAGATGTTCATAAGCTTTTTTTTTTGGTGAAATCTTGGTACCATGTGAGACAAGTCATGTGTATAGAGCATTTGAGTTCTGAGTCATGCAGAGTGTGACAAGGAGCAGAAGTTCATTGATGTTTGTGCTGACTAATGTTGGGTGCTGCTGGGAGAGATATGGTGTTCTTTGGTCTTTGGTCACCTACATAAATGAAATAATTTATTGTGGCTATGAGTGAAGGTAGATAGAGCACCATAAGCAGTGACACACCTCAGCTCAAAGTTTGTCACATGTTCAACCAAGGCAGTAAAATGCTTTTTCCGGAAACTACATATGCATTATGAAAAAATGACAAGACAGAATTTACACTGCCATTCAGTTGTTTGGCCTTTTTATTTATTTTGTTGAAAAATACTTTTATTCAGCAGGGATGCAATAAAGTGATTAAAAATGACAGTGAAGACATTTTCATGCCACATAAGATTTCTACTTCACATAAATGTGGTTCTTTTGAGCTTTATATTCATCAAGGAATCCTGAAAAAAAGATCACGGTTTCCACAAGATGTTAGGCAGTACAACTGTTTTAGTTCAACATTTAAAGGCTTAGTTCACTCCAGAATAAAAATTTCCTGATAATTTATTTACCCCCACGGCACCCAAAATGTTTGTCTTTCTTTCTTCAGTCGAAAAGAAATTAAGGTTTTTAAAGAAAACATTTCAGTTTTCATTAACATTATATTTTTCTCTATATAGTGGACTTCAAGTGCAGCTTCAAAGGGCTCTACACGATCCCACCCGAGGAATAAGGGTCTTATCTAGCAAAAAATATTACTGTATATCATAGGCGGAGCGTGTGGAAGGCTTTCCCCTGCCCTGGCCATGGGGGGACTTGGGGCAAAAATGGCACTAAATTGGACAAAAATGCCCCTGTACAAACAAATTAAATATATTACATCTGTTGCTAACAAAGTGAAAATTAATAGACAGTGTCGATTGTGTCATTAAATTAAGATCTGATCATATTGATCATACTACACTAGCGCTGTAGTATTTCATTTTAGGTGTTTTTAAAGTGTTGCGCATTTGATCCAATTACACACAATTCTGTTGAGCTTAGGAATGCAATGGCCAATCAGAGGCGTTCAGTTGAGTCATCGCTGAAACTCATTAGTTTTGTTGAGTGCGCGCACTTTCGCTGACTGAATTCCGGACTCTTGCGAATTCTCTCATCATAAACAACAAAGCGCAGATGTATGTAAAATGTAAGTAAGAGATTAATTTCACATTGTATACAGCTTCAGTGATTATAACGGTAGTTTTGTTTTTTGAGAGTGCTTAAACTCAGGGTGGATCAAAGTTAGTGATAATGTCACTTTCTAGGGATGTAACGATTAACTGCGAGCCGGTTGAAAATCGATTCAAATATGTGACGATTCAAATCGGTTGAGATGCTAAACAAATCGCGATTCATTTAGGTGTAGGAGTTTATATGAATGCATGTCTGAGGGGAACTTACTGTCTTTAGAAAAGTTTAGATGGTATTTTTTCTTTTCATCTTGCCTCTGTATAATGCATATTAAAGTTCGTAAGTTCAGCACTGCTATGTTTACAGCGGAAACCAGGAAACGCTTTAAGCTCCACCTGCTGGCAGAGAGTGAATCTGCCTCTCATTCAACTTTGCTGTTTCATGCAGATATTTTTATTTATAGTTTCACAAAACTGAAGTCAAACCATTCTGTTTTTGCTTCAAATTTCGAAACTATACAATCTAATTTAGTTTAAAAACTGCTCATGTTGCATGTATGCAGCATCTTTGTTTGGATCAAGATTAAAATGCAGTGGTTGCCTCTAATTTTAAAAGGAAAGAGCACAGACAAAGCCTTATTTTGTTTATATGAAGATATTTATTTTATTTGTGTTACTTATTTATTTGATTTGGGGCTTGTTTTAAAATTTCAATTTAGTTTTGTTATTTACATTTACATTATATTTAAATTTTGTAATTTAGCAGACGCTTTTATCCAAAGCGATTTACAAATGATGACAATAGAAGCGATCAAAACCAACAAAAGAGCAGTAATATGCAAGTGCTATATTAGTATATTATTATAGTATTATATTTCAATTTCACAAAGAAATGTGCAGCATTTTGTCCAAGCAATAATAAAAGGACACATTTCATTTATAATTTGTCTTAAATCTAATTTTGTTAAAAAAAATTCTAATAATCGTGAATCGAATCGAATCGAATTGTGAAATCAAAATTGTGAATCGAATCGAATCGTGAGTTGAGTGAATCGTTACATCCCTATCACTTTCTATTGCCTATATAATTTATTCGCTGTTTGAATAGCCGTGGAAATGAAACATTATATAATTATCAATTTCTAATGTTTTTATTCAATTGTAATCACGTTAAATACAAATTCAGTCCCATTAAACATGTTTTATTAGCCTATATGACACCCATGTCTGGTTCTTGCCTAAAAAGACAGGTTTATGATGTTTAATACATTTGGCTGCTTTTAGCCTTACCCTGGAGTTGGTTCACCCTCCGCCTATGCTGTATATACTTTTTTACTTGCACTAGCTCTACGACAAACGTCCATGACTTAACGCATTACATAATCATGTTGGAAAGGTGTTTTTTGCCTAGCGGAAGAAAAAGATTTAAACCTCCAGGATCCACACACGAATGGACCATTTTAAACAATAAACTCATACAAAGGCATATAAATATGTATCATTCAATATACAACAACTTTTGAATGGTCCTCCTTCTCCACACTTGTAAACACTGGGGTGGTACTTCCGCCTACATCACGTGTGACCTTTCCAACTTGATTGTGTAATGCGTGAAGTCGTGGACGCGCATCGCAGAGCTAATGCAAGATGAGCATTTGTGGTTAAGTATAAAAATGTTTGTTTATTTGTTTATTTATTTTTAGAAAATTACCAATTGCTTCATTAGATTAGATCCTTATTCCTTGGCTGGGATCGTGTAGAGCTGTTTGAAGCCGCACTGAAATTGCAATTTGGACCTTCAACCCCGTTGAAGTCCACTATATGGAGAAAAATCTTGGATTTTTTTTTTCCTCAAAAACCTTAATTTCTTTTCAACTAAAGAAAGATCATGTGACACTGAAGTAATGATGCTCAAAATTCAGCTTTGCCATCACAGGAATAAATTACATTTTATGCTATAATAGAAAACAGCCATTTTAAATTGTAGTGGGTTTTACTATATATTTTTTTATCAAATTAATGCAGCCTTTTGAAAAAAAAAAAAATCTTGCTTAACCCAAACTTTTTAACAGTAATGTATAGGGCTGGGTAAAAAAATATCGATATCTCGATTTTAATCTATTCTCATTTTTACGAAACAAAGAATCGATGAGTCTAGCCTGTTTTCAGTTAATGGATGGAACATTGAAGGGCACCTCCCATCCAATAAATCGCAATATTCATTGTGCTTTGCAGGGCTGTACGTTAACTTTTTCTTAACATAGCACTGGTGCTACAGAGGTTGAAAGTTTTGTAGCACAGGCCAAAAAGTTGTAGCACAAGTATAAAACTAGAGCC